CATGCCGATCGCAATTCATCCATCAGACCATTATGTTCTGCCCGACGAATTGACATGCGCACGATTCAATGTTTGTTTACTTCCTTTTACAAAGATTTCTACGCGACGTAAGGATTTACAGAAAACGTGATAAGAAAACTAACACTTAAAAAGTTGAATCCTAAAAGGTTGTTATAGTATAACTGACACCAGTTTACGAGTGTTCATAAAATATAAGTAAATATACGAGACAAAGACTAACATTTATTTTGTCGTTAGATTATGAAAATGTATTTTTTATTTTATATGTCTTGTACATTTGAAATGAGTGAATAAGGATTACGTAATATAAATTTTTAAAACCAGGTTTTGGGTATCATTTATAACATAGCACTATATGTATTTTGTTTATATCTTCATTTTCTTTGGTTAATATTTACATAAATATTTCATTAACGTTTGAAAAATAATATTTTTGTTTCCAGAAAATTTACAAGAATGGGATTTTTATTTTAAAAGGGAAAGTATATCTCTTACTATTAGTGTCGGCAACAATATAATTTAGTGGTTATGGAATGATTACTATTTAATTGTTAAAATAGAAAGCATATTCCCGGTTGAAAGTCTTAACCAACTTTCCAAAGAATTAATTCGTAATTCAACACTTTTATGTAAGAAATAAACGATGAGACAGTTGGAATCAGTACATGATTATTCCAAATTTAATTCTGTTGACAATTATGTTGCATATAAAAAGATTTTGTTTTACATTTCTGAGTTACTTTTTTACATAAATAACCTCTTTTTGATCATGCTATCACATCGAAAATATATATAGTGAAATTATTAAAAACTCAAGAGAGGATGGTTTGTTTTATAGAAATATAATTATTAAGCTTTTGAGATTACTATACTTTTATCGAGATTGTAATAGAATCACCATATTGAATTATCGCACCGTGATATTTCAAACATCAATGGCTAACATTTGGAGATAACTACGCTATTGGTGTATCGGATAGTGTCTATCCTATTCATTTCGACGGCATTTAATTCGACCTCTTCATCGCATGCTATGATTAGTGGATGTGACCTCTTCGGCCAATAACGAAAACGCGTCTGTCCTATGTTCGTGATAGTGTCCGAACAGGATGGTCTATTAAACCACAACCAGTCAGACCCGCATTCCTTTCAAGTACAAACTTTCCAGCTGCGTATAATAGTAGGGGAGAATGGAGTAATGACGGTCAATGGAAAATTGTGGTCACCTATTATTATTACAAAACGAAATACTAACGCTTGCAACTGTTATTCTCCACGTTTCGCAACACTTTTTGCTATTCTTTAAATCGGTTTAAATTATTGTTACACATTTCAAGTGATAGTCCGTACTTTATGTATTATTGATGTTATACGTGTTATTAAATAATTTAAATACACAACATATAAATAGTAGTTTCTCCATTTGTTGTATGATTTAATTTTACTTTAAAACCCCAGTTAATTGCAAGCCGACATCGCAATATTGCGGTATTTTCAGTACATCGCTAATATTTAACTGGCGAGTAACGTGTTCGCTTAAAAAGAAGAAGAATTATAAGCAGTTTCACTTAAATATAGTTTTTTCTAATATGTATATACTTGATCAATGGTAGGAGCAAGAATGGATACCTTTGTTTAGTTATTACTCAATCCTTTACAAAAACTGCAAGCTAACGATTGTATTAATTAATTATCCTCGTAAACGAAAGCACATAGAAGATCAAGCTTTGATGAGTTACAGACATAAATAATGCAGAACGAATGTAGGACAATTTGAGAATTACTATGTTAATAAAAATCAATGTTTAATTTTTTAATTTATTTCACGTTGAATTAAGAACATCTGCAACATTTTGTATTAATTATTGACATACAAATGCATAATAGTATGATTATGATTTGGTCGCTTTTTGTATTGTCTTCCAAAAGATATACACGGAGACAAAAATAGTATTCATACACTTTTCTAAACAGAACAGTTGTTTGAATAGTGTACTATTTATATTTTTCTGGAACAAGATTGCTTTGTTTTGCACAAAATTTTGAAGTCGGATTGTTTTGTGGTTATTTGTAAATGCATTTCGTATTCAGCATGCAATTTATTTCTCTATTTTGTTTTTGTTGTAATATATGAAAACGTCTTTTAACACAAACACCTTGCAACGAAGGGTATTAAGGGATTTATAGCTTTTCCAGAAATTTCGTGAAACTGAAGAAAATGCGGATATTTCGTGAAAATTTTTAACCAAAAGTCAAAATCTTCTCGTTCGTATGTGCATTTTAATGTAGAATCTGTTAATAATTTAATCGGTTCTTCCTGTTCAGTCAGGAATGTATGTTTGTGGAACACTTTAAGACATCTTGTGGAACGCCACGATTCCATGGTTTTAAATAACGTTGTAATAGAGGATGCAGTTTAAAAAACAATAAATCTAGGAAGTATATCATTTCAACTGTAATTTTTTTAACAGCTCTTATTACATCTATAATACATTTCACAATTACTCTATTGTGTCAGCAAGATAAGAAATAACATTAAAATGACAATAAAATTACGTTCGAGTTGCCAGAAATCTCGTCCACCAATATCATTTCTATAGAAAATAAAGGAATTTGCAAAAGTTCGGTTAAACTGAACATAACGATTTTTCAAAAGTTCAATCTGCATCATCTAATAAACTAATTTCTCTGGATACTTCATGTTAGTAGCTGCAATTTTTGAAAAGTTACTTTGTTTAAAAGAGTGTATGATTATTTATCTGGCTTACTATATATTTATGTGCTATTTCTTATGTGAGATATAAAACAAGTATACTAATATCCTTTCGCATCGTGTACATATATTTACACGATACTTGTACCTTCACACAAAATGGTTATAATGATATTTAATTATACAACCGAGAAAGAAATTGCAAAAACAAATCGAAATAAATTTTCTTAAGAAACCTAACTCGGGCGTTTTTCCATCCCTGAAAATGATAGATTTAACTTGTTCTTCCAAACAACTTGATACATTTTCGAAATAAACGAAATATACAAGTATACAAAATTTACACATTTAATAATATTAAGTTCTTGAAATCATATAATATTATTCTAATGTGCAAAGCAATACTGACTCCAGTTCAACGTAACTGTTGGTGTTTATTTGGAGTCAGCGTCGCTTTGGTGAAAGCAATCAAAACTTCTACACAGTGTTTGCAGTATTATGAATAATACTAACATAAGCGGAGTTAGTTATTTGTCTACTTGTCTAGCTTCAGCACATCTTAAAGTGAGTAGGTATGGGAAGGTCTTTTGGAAATTCCTTTTTTTTTTATTTAGTTTATCGAATGTCAAAACATATTACATGAAAAATGTACTCATTTTCTCATGCCCGCTAAGAGTACAGTTTGTTGAACGATATCAAATATTTAAAGAAATTGGAAGAGTACTGGATAGAAAATACCGTCGAACTTAAATTTAAGTGAAGTAAAATTAGCAAAGTGGAAGTGAATTTGTGGAAAATCCCTATACATATACATCATTGAAGCAGTATATACAGTAGATATTGCACAATTAAATAATTGCACGCAGCAACTTAAATAGTCGAGTTACGCTACAAAAATATATTTTTACTCATGAAGTTTTAGGATTTAAAAGTTAGTATTAACTTTATTTATCTGGCTTACTATATATTTATGTGCTATTTCTTATGTGAGATATAAAACAAGTATACTAATATCCTTTCGCATCGTGTACATATATTTACACGATACTTGTACCTTCACACAAAATGGTTATAATGATATTTAATTATACAACCGAGAAAGAAATTGCAAAAACAAATCGAAATAAATTTTCTTAAGAAACCTAACTCGGGCGTTTTTCCATCCCTGAAAATGATAGATTTAACTTGTTCTTCCAAACAACTTGATACATTTTCGAAATAAACGAAATATACAAGTATACAAAATTTACACATTTAATAATATTAAGTTCTTGAAATCATATAATATTATTCTAATGTGCAAAGCAATACTGACTCCAGTTCAACGTAACTGTTGGTGTTTATTTGGAGTCAGCGTCGCTTTGGTGAAAGCAATCAAAACTTCTACACAGTGTTTGCAGTATTATGAATAATACTAACATAAGCGGAGTTAGTTATTTGTCTACTTGTCTAGCTTCAGCACATCTTAAAGTGAGTAGGTATGGGAAGGTCTTTTGGAAATTCCTTTTTTTTTTATTTAGTTTATCGAATGTCAAAACATATTACATGAAAAATGTACTCATTTTCTCATGCCCGCTAAGAGTACAGTTTGTTGAACGATATCAAATATTTAAAGAAATTGGAAGAGTACTGGATAGAAAATACCGTCGAACTTAAATTTAAGTGAAGTAAAATTAGCAAAGTGGAAGTGAATTTGTGGAAAATCCCTATACATATACATCATTGAAGCAGTATATACAGTAGATATTGCACAATTAAATAATTGCACGCAGCAACTTAAATAGTCGAGTTACGCTACAAAAATATATTTTTACTCATGAAGTTTTAGGATTTAAAAGTTAGTATTAACTTTTTGTTGTGTATTTGATTAAATACAAGAAGTTTACTAAGTAAGTGGTTTATTTTAATGTGGGTCGCTTAATCGCATTACAGAAAAGAAAACGTTATGCACACGTCGTACTTGACTCTTTGCTCTCCCTGAAGTCGCACACCTTCACGACGACACTCTCTTGTCCGCGTAACGAGACCCCCAATCCCGCGCGAAATCAGAAATAAAAGAAAGAACAATATGGTGGCCCGTAACGCGGGCATTTGGAATTTACCATAACACCCCCCTTTCTTAAAAGTAAGGGTTGTAACGTAAAAGAAAGAAACGAAAATAAAAAAAAGAATCGTTGGAAGAAAAAGAAAGAAAAGAAGAAAAACCCGTATGTACATACTTATTTCTACTAGGATAACGAAAAAGTAATTTTGGTCGAATAAATAATCAGTGCGCTACAAAATCGCCGTATCTTATAGGAGGCGCTCTGATTCTTTCCGATCTACGGATCGGTTGTTCCGCGACAGGCGGTCCTTCTACTCTATCGTTCGTTAATGGATTCACTGCTTGTTGGGGTTCCTTATCGATGGAATAATCTATGTATCTTTCTACATTTTTGTCTTCAATACATGACCGTGACGGAGTGTATTTTCCAATCAGTCTCATTTGGTTTATGTGTCGTTTTCAAGTTCGTCCATCATCTAATTTAACTATGTAGTGCAATCGTCCTACGCGCTTTAGAATTCTACCGAACAGCCATTTATCTCCGTGCTGATAGTTTCTGCAGCTCACTCTCTCCCCTTCTTTGAAATTTCGCAAACTTTTACAATGGTACCCCTGTATTGTTTCATTGTTTTTCGGACGCATTAAGTCTAATATACATCTAACTTTCCTATTAAACATCAATTCCGCAGGAGATATACCTGTCGTGCAATGCGGAGTAATTCGGTATTTCATTAATATACGTTGCAATGATGCATGTAAATTTGACTTTTGCATATTTATAGTATGTAAAGATTTTTTTAGGGTTTGTACGAAACGCTCTGCCAAACCATTTGTAGCCGGATTATAGGGTGCTGTTAATTTGTGCGTAATCCCGTTTTGTTGTAAGAAATTTTGAAATTCGCTAGATACAAAAGTACGTCCGTTGTCTGACACTATTTGTATTGGCAAGCCAAACCGTGCAAAAATTTCGCGACATTTTTGAATTGTAGTTTCCGCTGTAATATTATTTACTATAAAAACCTCAGGCCATTTTGTGTACGCGTCAACTATTATTAGAAAATTGTATTCTTTAAAAGGTCCTGTGAAATCGATGTGTATACGTTCAAAAGGGAAAGTAGCGGGTTCCCATGTATGTTTAATTTTTGGTGGATTATTCCTATTCGCGTTGCATTCTGCACAATTTTCTGTGATGGCTTTAATATCATTATCTATGCCGTTCCACCAAACGTAACCACGTGCCAACATCTTCATCTTTACAATTCCGAAGTGTTGGGTGTGCAGTTCTTTTAATATTCTAGCTTGTAATATTTTTGGTATGACTACTCGATGTCCGCGCTGAACGCTGACTCCTTGTTGAACGCTGTATTCTACTTCTCTATTTTGGGATCTCTCGTTTTTACGCATACGCTTCCCAGTTTCTATCGAATGTAATATTTCCTTTAAGTGTTTGTCTTGTTTGGTCGCTCTTACCAATTCTTCGAAAGTAATTGGTAATGACTGTTGTACGTCAACTACGTCGCATGTAGTCTCATCGCGGTTTGCAATTGGTAATCTGGACAGGCAGTCAGCATTACTATGTAATTTAGTATTTCTGTATTTAATTGTATAAACCTCATAGAAACAATGCATAGTGTTGCATACGCATTGCGCTGTACATTGGTAAGTTTTTCGACGGAGCCAGTATATGTACTAGTGGTCTATGGTCGGTGTACAATGTAAACTTATTTCCATAAAGATACTGTTGAAATTTCTTAACACCAAAGATTATGCTATATGCCTCCTTATCGATTTGCGCGTATTTCTTTTGTGTATCATTTAGCGTACTTGAAGCATATTGTATGGCTCTTTCGCTACCATCTGGGTAAACATGGGACAGTACTGCCCCTACACCATAGGAACTAGCGTCGGTAGCCAGTATTAGCGGAAGTTTGGGGTGGTAATGGGCCAACACCTCATCGCTTTGGAAAGCCCGTTTTGCATTTCTGAAAGCTATTTCACATTCTTTTGACCAAATAAATTTGGAGTCTTTATGTAATAATTTGTTTAGTGGATATAAAATCGAACTAAGATTCTTAATGAATCTCCCATAGTAATTTACGAAACCTATGAATGCTCGTACTTCTGATACATTTCGAGGGGTAGGCATCTGTTCAATAGCCGCGATTTTGTCTTTGTCTTTATGTATTCCATCTTTATCGATAACGTAACCACAATGTTTAATTTGATCTTTAAAGAATGTACTCTTCTCTAAATTAACTTTAATGTGATGTTCATGTAATCTTTGAAAAACCATCTCTAGTCTATGTAAATGCTCAGTATCATCTGTACCTGTAATCTTAGTATCATCTAGAAAAACAGTGACTCCCGGAATATCTTTCAAAATATTTTCGATTTCTCGTTGCCATATGGCCGGAGCAGAAGCAATTCCGTACATTAGTCTAGTGGGTTTGTATAGCCCTTTGTGCGTGTTTAAGGTAAGTAAAGCTTGATCTTCTTCCCGGACTTCTAATTATAAATAGGCTTGTCGTAGATCAATTTTAGAAAATGTAGTACCCCCCGCCATAGATGCAAAAAGTTCGTCTATTGTTGGTAGCGGGTGATCATCCACTATTAAGTTTGGATTTATTATGACGCTGTAATCCCCACAAATTCTAACTTTACCTTCTTTCTTTAATACTGGAACTATGGGTGTAGCCCATTCCGAGGTGTGGACCTTTACTAAAATCCCCGCTGCTTCTAAATTTTCTATTTCCTTTTCAACTAACGGTAATAATTTGAAAGGGACCGTACGATGTTTCATAAATGTAGGCTTAGCATTATCTTTGAGTGTTAAATGTGCTTGTCGATCTTTAATACGATCTAGACCCGGCTCGAAAACGTCTTTATACTTTTGTAAAATTGTATCTAATTGTGCTTTCCTGTCGATACCAATTGCATTTACAGTATTATGATTCAAAGTAAATTTACGCAATTCATTTTCATTTAATAATTGACGTAGCCATTCACGTTCTAACAACGGAACTGTATTTACATTTGTAAGATATATATTTAATTTATGTATTGTACCACCGTAATTGACGCACACTGTTATATAGCCCTCTGCTTTAAATGTGTGTAACGTCCGCGGGAAGAATTATGTGTAACGTCCCCGGGAAGAATTTTTTTTTTGGTTCAACATCACGACAATCTTGGACCCACTGACTAGAATAATCAATTATCGACTGTAGTTGCCAATTACCGACAGTATGTCAGATATCGATTATCGATCTATCAAATTCGACAATCGGTAATCACAATATATATATATATATATTATCATTTACATTAATTATCTTATAATTTTGATTTAGAGTAGGTAATATTTTCCGCGAAAATAACTGAACACTAAGTTTTCATTATAAATTACAAGCGTGTTAATCAAGTAAAGTCTTGTCACTGCGGTAACTTCGAACACGAAAATCGAATATACAGTGGGTAACAAAAGTAAGTAAACACTTTGAGCTTGTAGCAAAAAACTATTTAGGTCAAAGCAAATATGTAACTTTAAAAGACAAATTGTATATCTAGTGAAACTACATGAAATAATCTATACAATTATGCTGATAAAATGTTCATTAGTGCTGGATTTCCTCGTAAAAAATAATAAAGATTCGCGGTATGCAACGAATACACGTTCCAAAAGTAAGTAAACACGACCGACATTGCTCGATAACTTTTTAATACTTGCAATTTTGCAATTTATCTGTAAATAACTCTTATAGATTATTTCATGCTGAATCTGAATTCGCAAACCGTTCCTTTGTAGCGGTTATCGTTTTCGAGAAAATTTGATTTAAAGGAAAATTGTAAGTTTTCAACTTTGGAAATGTTTCACAGTCTTATAGTTGCTTCTATTCATTTTGTTTTTATACCAAACTATTCTGCAAATTATCTTGAATAAAATGATAGGAATTGTGATAATATTATAATTATTTAATTATGTTTAAATGCCAATGAAAGTGAAGAAGAAACCCAAGACTCGCCGATGTCTGCTGATGTTTTTTAATTTATTTCAACGACTGAGAGTTTCAGAACAAATCTAATCAGATCAAACGAAACAGTAAATATTACAGTTGAAGAAGGTACTCAAGAAAGATAACAAATCGTGTTATGCTTTGAGTACATGTGTCAAACGTTTCGGAAAATTATTAGCACGAAATCCGAAAAACGCTCGTACAAAAAAAATGACCGTCTGTGATGAGTATCACTGCCGTTGCTACGTGAAGTTGTTACATGTTTATTTATTCTTGATAAGTGAGTGCAAGACTCGGCATTAAACGTTTTCATTTTTTGGTGTTCAGTATTATTAATTTAAATTTATTTGAAGGTAAGTTATCTTAAATATTTTCTAGAAATGTTAAACATTTCTTATATTGCATTGTATTTTTCTAATCGTGGAATTTTACTGTTTAGTTTATTGTTTATTTA